ATAATCAGTTTTAATAAATTTATAATAATAATAAATTTATAATAATAAAGTTTTGAATTATTCTGAAAAAAATTTTATATATTATGTTATTGAATTATACTTATACAGGATATGAAAAATTATTTGTCATTAACTTTGTAAACATTAATTTTGGAAGATAATTTTATATACCTTTGGATCGGTGGAAATCTTTTTAAAAATTGATTGCAAAATTGATTTTACGATTATATCGTATTCATCATAAAAAATAGTGGTCTCAAAGAAATCATGGGTTTCAAATTTATTGTATCTTCTTTTAGAAAAAAATATTTAAATGTATTTAAATTTATATATTTATAAATTATATTTATTTAAATTTACTTTATTTACAGAATATTTTTTTATGAAATAAAATAACTTTTTTTATGAAATGAAATTGAAAGATTATAGAATTTAATATATGTTATGAATATACGTTCGTAATCATATGTTTCTGCCACTATTTCAATTGTTTAACAAATATAACAAATGTAACCACAAATATAAATATATAAATAGATGTGTCATCATTTTTAATATTTGTTCATAAAAATTTTATTTTATGAATTCTTTGGATGCAAAAATAAATAAAAACAATCTCTGAAAAATTAAAATTGCAATAAACAATGTTACAAAAATATTAATTATGATATCATTCTAAATTCGACTATAATTTCCCTCTCCTAAATTTAGCTGTGATGATATATATGACTTATATGTATAATCAATAATATGTACAATCATTATATGTATATATCGAATCGAAATTTTAAAGTGGATGAAATAAGAATAAGAATAAGATAAAATTCGAAATATAAAATTTTTAGATGTGATATATATATTATAATATAGTGCATTATCTAAGAAATTAATGAATAATTATTAAAATTTTATATTTTTTTTTATTAGAAATATTATTTTATATTTATTAAAAATATAATCTTATATTTTATATTTATATATTTGTTAACATAGCCATAATGAAAATTTTGCAAAGAAAAATATTGCTTACAATTATTTCAGGAATTTTTTATTATTTTTTAATATTTTTTAATATTTTATTGATAAATATTTTTACATTTTTGGAGCATCTTGTATATGTTCCAAATGCAATATATTTATCATAATTTATATATTTGATAATATGATGTATTTTACAACAATTTACAACAATTTAGATCATAATAATCATAACCATAGTAATATTTCAATCAAATTACCATAAATATTCATTGTTCTAATATTATAATAATCACTAAGAAAATATACAATAACACTAAAATATATTTGCTAATTGTAATTTTTTTTAAATCTTATAAACTTATAAGTGAATGAAATGAATATTTTAAGCACTTAATATAATAATAACTTTTCTATTTTTTTATATTTACAGTACAATATATTTACAGTATATTTACAGTATATAATATTGTACATCACAATATTCCGAAAAAATATTTATTTATTAAATATAAATATAAAATTATAAATATATTAATAAATATAAAATTTATTAAATATTTATTTATTAATTGTTTACTTATTTTTCGATTTGAAATTTATTTTTTATTATTTATAAAAAAGTTCTTCAATTCGGAAATTCAAAAAACTATAAAACTGTAAAGACATATAATATTTATATAAGTATGTATTATGCAATTTTTTTCTTTTGCTGTCCAAAATCACTTAAAGATAATTAAATCAATCTTTAAAAATTCAATTTTATCTTATAATTCGCAAATTATAAAAACTAGAAGAAAATATTCAAACAAATATTTCTTTTTATAAGAATTATTATCTAGCAAAACATTTATTAATTATTTATTTAAAATATTTAAAATATTATAAATAAAAAATTTAAAATTTAAAAAAAATAATTTTTTTAAATTTGTTTTTTAACTAAAGTTTTAATCAAATAACTATGCTATGATATAAAAAAATAAAATAAATATTGTTTGTTTTTATTAAATAAAAGTTCCTTATGATACTGATTTCTGTTGAATTTTTAAAAATAGAGAAATTTATATTATATACTTTTATCTTTTATTAAATATTGGATTGATGTATTAGATGGGAATAGAGAAAGAAAAAAAAAAGAAATTTATACATATATATTTTATATGGTTCTTTTATTTTTAATATACAATATTTTTAATATACAATATTTCTCTAATAATAATATTTCTCTTTAAGAGAAATATTTTTCTAAAGACTAAAGACTATTTTATTGTTTTTATAGCTTATTGAATAATTTCATTCGAAATCTAATTTTAATTCATATATTTAAAATTTTTTAAAGAAATTCAATAAATGATATTCCATCATTATTGCAAAAAAATATATTATAAAAAAAGTAAATTTTCGGACATTCGATTTTATCATTCTCGAGTAGAAAAATGTAGATTATTATTTCTTTCATAAAAATTATCATATCATAAATGTAAAATCAAAATATCGTATCATAAAATTGTAAAGCTTGTCTCTATCTTATATTTAAAATTTTTTAGTAATGAAACAAAATTAAACTAATCATTATATTTTATTTTTTATTCTTCAATTAATTTATTGATATATTTAATGATCTATGGAACTGATTTAAGTATAATTGATTTTTTGTCATATAAATCAAGCAAATTTGTATTATAACAAATTTTTAGAAAGTAATTAAAGAAAGCAAATAATTATAAAAAAATATATTCAACTTTTTTAATTTGAAATATATAATAGAATTACATGAATTGCTCCCATAGATTTTACCAAATAGATAAATTGAGTATTATTTATGGATTTAAATAAAATATTATACAATTCATAAATTTAAATAATATGTTATATAATACTGAATATTACACAATTTGCGATAAATTATTTGTAGTAAGTTTTTCTTAAATAATAAATTACCTATAATACATTATATATTATATTACTAAAATTCTATTTAAAAATTAATCTAAAAAAGTAATATAATATATAAGATTATTTCGTTAATACAAAAGCAATATTATGATACGATAGATATAGTTCACCAACTTGAACGCTTTTAATTCTATTACCATTTCATTCGATTTAACACAAAGTTAATTAATTACTTAAACTATTATGGAACATATATATAGAATTTATTTTGTTATTTTGATACTTCGTCCAAAGATGTTTCATATTTTTATAAACATTCTATATATCTATATATAGATTTCCCTTCATTTTTAATTGCTACTCTGTAATAATCTATTATTCATATTCAAATATTATTGAATATTAGATTTTATATATTTTTTGTATAATAATTTTATATATTTATACAAATATACATTTTATATATTTTTGTATAATAATATATAATAATACTATAATATAATATAATAATACTATATAAATAATACTGTATAATATTAATTATTTCTAATATAATAATAATTATTTCAAACAAATTCTTTTTTCTAATTTAATTTTTTATTTATTTACGTTTGTTTTATTTTTACGTTTTATTTTTTAATTTTATTTAAATGTTTTTCTTTTTTAGAATGTGAAAACTTACTATGAAATGTGAATATATGAATATGATGTATATGATATATGAATATTTTTTTCAAATTTTTTCTTTTTTATATTATATAAAATATTTTATACTATATAAAACATTGAATACAAATAATCTTCATTTACAATTTGTTACTATAAAAACATTTATAGAATTAAAATTAATAATAACAATAATTTCAGGTGCAACAATTTTTATTACAACTTTTTCTTCATCCTTTAAAATTTACTGCTGGTGGTTATATTCTTAACAATAGATTATCAACAATGGTGAGTAAAGTGAATTTGTAATTTCATTATTTATTTAAGAATTTTTCTTTCAGTTTTTTGGTACTATAATCTCTTATTTGATTGTATTAGTACAAATAAGTTCGTCGCCAAGTTTAATGAAAAAACCTTTAAACAAAAACTTGTAAGATTACTTTTATGATTTATTATTGCTAAAATCATAATTTATTTATTACATTTCATAGCACATCAATTGTAATTTATAAATAATAAAGAAATAAAGAAATTGTTAGAAAAAAAATTTAATATTCATTCCTTTATATGTATGTAATATTTTATATTTAAAATTAATATTTTAATATTTAATATAAGTATACTCTTTCTTTTTTTCATTTTATTAGATTTACTACTTTTATCTTTCTATCTATTTTAAGTGATTCTATCTATTTAAAATGATAATTTTTCTTTACTCATAAATTCGAAACAACAATAATATTGAGACATAATTCTTTTTATTTAATATCATGTTTACCTAGAAAAACTAGAAATAAAATTTTAGATAAAAAAAAAATAGTAGCGAGATATAAAAGACATGCATTTTATTTTTGTTGCAATTCTAAAAATTTGAAAAGAAAAGAATTTAAAATATCGTAAATAGAGTTCAAATACAATCACAAAAAAATATTCGTTATACAATTATAAATTTTGGAAATTTTGGAAGATTTTGGAGTTAAATAATTTTTTGATTATATACTGATTATAATTTGATTATAACTGAGATAAATATATAAATATATACAATTTTGTAATTGTATATTAAATATATACAATTATTTTTTACATCTTATGTCCTAATTTAACTTTATTTATTGTAATTCTCAATCATCATACAGAATAATAGCTATCAATAAATATGATTACGACCATTCAATGGAAACATTAGTTTGTTAGTCATTAGAAAATCTATGTATTTTTATAACTTAAAAAAAATTATATTCGAATGGATTAAATCTTTTATGTGAGAAATAAATCTGACTACTTTTCCTAGCTATTATTAAGATTAAAATTATTACATAACTTATTTTATTACGATACCTTTACAATTTACAATTAATTTACAAAACAATATATTATACATTTATATTAAATTTATCTTTGAAAGATCTAGAATGCTCATTCCATGAATCTTTTGGAAAAAATGCAAAAATAAAATAAAGAATTTTTAAATAATGGAAATTAGAACGATCGAAGTTATAAAGATAGCGATTTTAGAATGTAATCTGGTATTTTAATTATAATATTCTTGACTTAAACCTTGAGTTTTATTTTCCTTCGGATTTTTTTTAGGAAGTAAGATATTTTTTTTTAAAAATTGAAAATTGACAATTATGAATAATTTTTTAAATATAAATGCTGAAGATTATAAGATATATATTAAAAGTAATAAAAAATATTTAAAAAATATAAAATATAATAATAATCTGTTTAATTTTAAAAATTTATTTGATACAAATGTGTACATTCGCCGGAAAATTTATTGACATATAAATATTATCTATTTCTGACTATCTTTTATTAAGAACAAAAGATATATTTTTTTCATTTTTTTCAATGATTTATTATTATTTTTTAATATAGTTTTTATATTTGAAGTTTTATTTTTAATGTAAAATTAAAAGTTACATTGATAAAAAATTATTATTATTTTTGTATTGGAAGTGAATTGAAATATTTTCAATTATATTATATTTTATTAATATGTTTAAAGATCAATTTTTAAAATAATTTTTTTTATTTTATAATATTTTTTATATTGTTCTATATTTAAATTGTTCTATATGTCTAAAAAGCGACAATATTCTTGAATATAAAATTATATTTATAGAAATAAAATTATGCAAATATTTTAAATTGAAATATTTAGATACATTATATACATATATACATATATAATACATAATTATATATGTTCGCAGCACTTATTACTCGCGAGATTTATAAACGAGTTTATTCAAAGAAATTTTTACATAAAAAAATTTTACATAAAACTTTTGTTCTTACTGCGCGCAGATCTTTATTAAACCTAAGTCAAGAACGGTGTTATTTGAAAAGACTATCTTTGAGAATTTAGCCGACACTTATAATTGTATATTTCTGATGTATTTTAAATAAATTAAATCGATCCTAATGATGATATATTCCAGACGCAGTTGACTCAATAGCAATTAACATCATTCTAGTTCGAGAAAATATATAATAGAAATCAATTCTTGATTATCAATATCTTGATATCTTCGTATACGTTGATCACCGGCTAAATTCGAGGAATTTTCTTCTAATTTGGAGCTCTGGCGAATCAGACATTAATCGCGATATTATTGGTTATTATCCTCATTTTAAAGAAAGTTTTATTATGATTATGTCGTACTTTAACCGCCGGATAATTAGTTTGTGAATATATCATGCTTTGATCGTCGAACATGATTACACTGTTGTGACATTGAGAGACCCTGCTCTCTAAGAAATAGACCTCTAACAAACCTGCTCTTGTGCTCTGCACGAGTAATCACTTATACAGTCCGTCTTTAAGAAGTATGTCATTATTATACAAGCAATTATTAGCTTACATCCATCAAAATCATTACAATACTATTTAATATATTAAAATAATATATATATATGTATGTATATGTATAAAATACATATAAAAAAACTATTAAATATATTATTGCGGGCGCGAACAATATAATTACATAATTATATAAATATATAAAAACATTATATATAAAAATATTATATATAATTATATATAAAAATATAACAATATAATTATAAAAAATATTTTGTATTTATTATATGAAAATTAAATAAAAACTGTAAATTACATAATAAATGTGATTTTTTTTTTAATCATTAAATCCTATATAACATTTAGCTATTATAACAAAGAATAAAAATAAGTATATTATTGGAAAATGTTTTGCCGATCTGTGTATAAACTAATAT